AGCTAGAGAAAATCATTGAACATGGGTTTTTCTCCAGTGCAGCTAGAGGAAGACCTCAGAAGCAATACAAGGTAAAGTTTTCTAATCAAACGTCGTATAAAGCTCGTTGGTTTAGTAGAAGAGAACTCTTACCTATCGGTCCTAATATTGTCTCTGCATACGAGGGAGGTTTAAGAATCCAAGCCTGAAATGGGATTTCTGTGGTCGAACTAGAATCGGGCAGGATGGAATGTTGTAACTCGTGTGCCAAAATTGAGCCACTAGGCTCTGGTTGTGCCCTCAAACAAGCACGAGGGCAGGCCCTGAAAAAGGGGTCAAACAGGCCCTAGGAAGAGGCCAAGACCGACAGTTGACCGCAATGTCAACAGTCAACTCGTGGACCCAGGCCCAGATCCGAGAAGTCAAAGCCAACACATAAAATTTCTTGGTCGTCAGTCTGGAATGATCTAATAGTGGTCTGCAGGTTCCGGAAGATTCAGGCCTCCAAGGAGTCCAGACCGAAATTGGGACAGACTGCATCAGAGTCGTCGGCAATCAGACGGTTCGGGGTCTCAAACAGACAGAAGTTGACCTTGGACATCGCGAGTCAACACTATAAATAGTTGACTTCACCACCGCTTGGACATTCAGTCTTGCGAGTTGCTTGTGGCTTTGATGCTGCACATGAGACTTGAGAGGAGGACGCTGGCGCCAGGCTGTTTCGTGGGCACCAGCCAAACGCTATAGCAGGAGAGGAGAGAGAGGGAAGGCAGCCATTGCTGCAACCATAGACAACGGTTGGTCTCACTTGATGTGATGCTGCTGCTGATTCTGCCCGCTGCTGAAAGGATTACTCGTCTGCGAGGGGCTGCGTTTACATCATCCACATGTCATACTGTTTACAGATTGTTGATGTGGCAGAGGTGGGGAAGCCTGGAGGAGAAGAGGGACTTGATTGCTACGATATTCTTCTCCTTCCAACTGCCTTTTCCTCCCCCTCTCTGTTCTAAACTCGAGACTCTTGACTTGGAGACTTTACAAGTGGTTATGAAGGATCATGTACTTCAATGACTTCGAATTGATGGACTAGTTGGAATGATTATCTCGACATTGCACGACATAGTTATCTCACGACATTGCTATCTGACAACATAATTGTTTGACGAGACTAGGCTCATTACACAGTCCTTTGCACACACACACATATACACATATAAATATATGACGAGGGTTCAGCCTCTTGACGAGTCGGTGAAACTCCGACGAAACAGTTTGTCACAACCCCTCGTTTGTTGTCCTCATCTCCCTCTCTACCTACGGTTTACCAAGCAGCTCTATTTCAATATATATATATAATATATATATACATATTTGGCTTTTTCCTTCCTCTCTTCTTTGCCTCTTTGTCTTTTGGCTGTGTGCAAGTGGGTCGATATGACACACGGGGGTGGGGGCAGCCGCCGCTCAACCTACATCTACATGGGCGGCCTTGTACGCAAGAGGTTCTGAACAGGGGGAGTTGTAAGGAAGAAGATAAAAAATGAATTGATATCTTTTTTGTTTCTCTCTTTTTTGTTTTTCTTTGTTCTTTTCGCTTTTGCTCTTTGATATTTATGTGACTATATATATATATATATATATATATATATATATATAKATATTGTCACAAAACTATTGACTAAGAGCATGAGCACGTGAAGTAGAAGAAGAAATAAGATGAGCAAAGAAAAGAAAAATGAAAGGACAGACAGGCAAAGAGACAGACAAACCAGAATGACACTTTGTTTCACAGTATTATTATTTCTTTCAGTGTTTTACAAAAAATATTTACACTGAATCAAAGGATAAAAATCAGAAACAAAGACACATTGAAATCATTCAGTTTCTCAGTCATCTTAACGCCTCCTCCACTGTGCCTCTAACGTACAAGGCTCGCCACGTTGATGAAGTTGAGCGCGAGCTGCCCCCATCCCCGTATGCCATAACAGCCCACTTGCACGCTATGGGAAAGAGGCAGAGTGAAGGAAGAGGTGTCAAACACAAGGGAGAGAGGAGCAGAAAAGGAAAATCGATAGGCAGAGGGAGAAAAAATAAAAATAAAATAAGGGTGACACAAACATCTTCTTTCTTTTATTGCATTCTTCTTTCTTTCACAGTTTTGCAGTTTTGGTGAAGAGTCTACCACGTTCATTTTTCAGCRCACCTGCACTTCCTTCTYCAYTTTTTATTCTCATTTTYAYCCTTCGGACTTTTTCTTTGAGGGYGYTAGGGTGCAGGGTACAAACAAAGWAAAACGACACAAACTTATGTTCTTCTTTTACTGCAGTTTTCACTGTTTTGCAATTTTAGTGAAGGGTTTCCCACCTTTGCACATTCTTGTACACTCTTTTCAGCGCACCTGCACATTTTTGTCAGGGTGAAAGGTACGTCTAAGTAAAACCCTCACGACAAATAGGACAACTATCATAAGGATGCGGGCGATGGTAGCATCCCTCCCGCTGATCTATAGGACGAAAACCATTTAGGTAAGCAACTTCGTCACAGCAGGAACCAGGACGGCTAGCATCGACCATACCTCTGAAGCATGCACGGCAGAGGGCATGTCGGTTGCAGGCCATGACCATTGTGGGGCGTTCACCATCACAGTTAAGTGCGCATTCGCTATTGCGCCAGTAGGCACAGATGGGACATACTGCATCTAGATGCAGAGGATGTTCACAATCCGGATACAGGTGGCATCCCTGCCGACAGCAGGCCCGAAAAATTATATGGTTGTAGTGATGTCGACAAAGTCGATGCTTTCCACAACCAAGTGTAACTGTGTCAGTGATCTCACAAAGAAGGAGGTCACAAGGTGTTAGTGCAGCATGCGAGGGAATGAAGACTAAAGCAGGCACGGTGACAGACATGGAGGTAGGCACGGAGACAGACACAGAAACG